TGATGATAAAATTGGAAGGAGCAGGATGGAAAAATTTTCTGAAACAAACAAATTTCTAACTGTGCACATAGTGTTCGTTCGGTAATGTCTATTCATTCCAACAATCAAATGTTAAATAGGAGCTTCAGCCATGTGTGTGAAAAACTGTAGCTGCTGCTTTTTAATAAACAGACACTCGCCTGTCCCGGGATCCTGCGTGGTGTTCACCCCAGCCGTTTGTTAACTGGTATTCGGTCTCTGGCACCAGCATCTTAACTGTGGGCAGTCGGCTGTGACTGCTTGTGAATCCACAGCTGGCTGCCTACTGTGCATGCTGTGCTACCTGAATGGTCCTGCAGACCTCTGGGACCTGTGATTTTTCCAGGCTGCGGGCATGGGGGGGGGGGGGGAAGACTTCCACTCCGAGTGGAAGTGGGAACAGGTACCTGTGAAAAATAAGTACACCCCCCCCCCAAAGAAAAAAAAATCCAAATTCCACTTTGGGAGCAAACAAAAACTTTCAAATTACATTTTAAATGTCCTGAGAGTTTTCCTTTAGACTTTTCTGATGAAGAATTTTCATTCAGAATTCTATCCATCTATGGCCAGCTTAAATTTCCAATAAGGCTGGACAGAACTACAGGTCATTTGGCAGGTTAAAAGAGAGAAGTGTATATAGAGATAATAATTTTGCTTGGAGTTCTGCTCTAATACTGCATGGGTGTCACGTACCTGCTTGGAGACTGAAATGACGAGGTCGGCCTCACTTGTGTCACTAGCCCTGACCCCACTGGAAGTGGAACAAAGGGTGTCTAGGGACCAGGGGGACAAGAGAGCCAGCGGATGTTGTTTGCAGCTCTTGCAGCTGGAGACTTTGGAAGACTGGTGAACCTCCGATTCAGGAACAGTAGTGATATGCAGAGCTGGTATGGTAGGTAGCCAGGTGTGCACCAGAGTAAGACAGGAAGCTGGGATGGGAGACAGGAGCAATGTCATAGGAATAGCCGGAGTCATCAACGGGCGGACAGCGAGGTACCAAATCATAAGCAAGCCAAAGTCAGGATCAGAGCCGAAGTCAGGAACAAGTATCAAGCAAGAGAGTAATCAGAGTCAGGTCAGGAACAAGCCGGGTCAGCAACAAGGAAATCGCACAGGAACGAGCAGGAAACAGGGAACAGCTGAAGACCAGTTAGCACAGGCAGAGGCACTTTTTAAATAGTCTGTCTGGCTCCAATCTGCGCCGTGCGTGTGCGCGATTGCGCATTTCTGTGTGCATGCGCACGTCTAATAGCCAGACGTCTCATGAGAATTCCCTTACAATGGGATAAACTTTTTTTTTTGGGTGCTTCGTTTTAGAGATCATCTAATGTTGCTTTTTAGTTGTACTCGAGGTTTCCATTTGTCACACTAGGCCTTCCCCGATTGTGGCAGAGGCAAAGAACCAGCTTTATATCTAAATTTATTGGATACACGTTTCCCAATCTTCAGTAAAAATGGTCAGCTTAGTTTGACATTGACATAATGTTCTTGACCACCTAGGGTCCAGTAGGACTAGAAATTCTTAGAGGGTGATCCTAGAAGGGTATTTTCTTTAGTACCAAAAGCTGTGTGCCTACAGGCTTTGGGGATGAAAATCTGACCCTAACCGTACATGTAAGCTCTGCTTACGGAGTTGGGGTAGAGATTGATGTAAGTGGTTCTATGAGAATAAAGTGTAAAATGTCTGTATTGTATGAATAAGCAAAATGAAAAGATCTGATATTGAAATTGAAACTAATCTGTTTTACTCCTTTTGTGTGTGGATAGTTTAGGAAGTGGTTTTTTTTTTTGTTTTTTTTTTAATGATAGTATACATCTAATGTAATCTGAATAGTTTAATTTATTTTTAAGGACAAACACTAGTTTACTGACCAGATACAGATAAGATTAACTGCTTATATTGCATCTGTCCAGCAGTATTCAGTGATAAGAGTCCCATTTTCAATTATGTATTCCTTTGTGTATACTGTATTACATGTATAGTTTGTTTAACCGGTTTCCAGATAAGTATTGGGAAGGTCATTATGATGGAGTCTACACCACATACCTGTTTGTTTATACTAAGCACTGGAGTTGCCTTTGTCAACTGGATATACAAATAAACCACCAAGGGGCTGTGAGGATATGGCAGATGGCTGCATTTGATAAGTTCCAAGGGGTGCCGTATGCTATCTTTGGCATAAAAAGGTTGAGAGGCTGGTATACAGGCAGAGGCACCACTTAAAAAAAAACCAAAAACTCAGATCTTGGGGGGGTTGAACCTCTGCTGAAATTATTTCATTATGAAAATGCCCCCCTTACAGCGCTGGTCAGTGAGAAGAATGCCCACCTTACAGTGTTGGTCAAAATCTCTTACAGTCAACCAAAAAAATCACTGGCGTCATCTGCTAGCTCTGCCAAGTGGCCTTGGACCCAGAATTATGCAGGCACAATCAGATGGGAGGTAAATTGGTCACAGCTCAAGGGACCCCTAGAGACCTCAAGAGAAACCCAGGTTGAGATTGGCTGCTCAACCTGCACACCTCTGTTTGGGTTTTCCTCCACTGGCCTATCAACGTGTTTTTTTTTTTTTTTTTTTTTTTTTTTTTTTTCCCTGTTTCACCCCATCTACACATTTTCTGTGTTTTTTCAATCCTGTGCTGTCTATGTAACAGTGAATGTCTGTCTTATTTCTGGCACCTTATCCGATATTGCACCTGAAATTTTGTTCTCAGCTCCAGCCCTGAAACTCTCGTGACCTCCTGCCTTGTGATGTGTGTCCTAATACACACGTCAGCTTTTTCTATCCTAGTTCATTCTTATGGGCTTGTTTGGTTTCTTATGCTTGCTTCTCTCCTCAGCCTTGTGTTTGCTATGTTGTATACCAGCCGCTGCAGCTCTGCTTGGTTCCTGCTCCATCTTGCTTCCACTGCTAACTTGGCGTGTCCCCCTCCAGTGCCTATTCTGTTCCTAACTATTTCCACTTCATGTACATGCCAACTGCCAGTTTCTGCTTTGTCTGTAACTGTTGTATTACTGGAGAAAGTCACAGCCTGAAATCATCAGTCTCATAGCTTCAATCCCACCAGCTCCACCAAAGACCAGGCATTCTTATATCTTGCCACCTCAGTGTGACCCTTTTACCATGTTGATGATATGACGCCTAGTTTTCTGTTTCCCTACTCTGTGTCATTGCTGTAGTGAATTCCTTAAACAATTTTTTGATTCCTTTCCTTCATGTGATCCTTGGTACTCCTCATGCTGTTTTTTGACTTGCAACCATTATGTCTAAACTTTCCTCACTATAAGCTCCAAATGTCTCTGGATACAGCCAACAATTTCTTGCTCCCCATTACAGGGCTAGGACACTGCAATGTTGGGGTGGTTCTCTGTGAGGACTTGAAAAATTTTAGAGTCCAGCTTCTAAACATTTTCGACTTGTTTCTAGATTTTGAACGGACAGTGTATAGCTGTGATCCCTGCAGGAGTAGTCAACAGGACTCAAAAGTCAGCAGAGTGACTTAACATGCCTTGGAAACATGCCCTTTATTATAACTTGAGTCCTTGGGAACACAGCATGTATGTTAGGACCTTCCTAATTTATTTGGCGTAACATTAGAAAAAAAAAGTTTCAAGTATTTTATAATGATATTTTTTCTCCTGTCTTGCTTCTTGTCATTACAGGGTGCAGAATCGAGAATTGTGATGCTTGTTTTTAGTAGAGATTTTTGCACAAAGTGCAAAGACGGTTATTACTCTCACAAAGGACGTTGTTTTAAGGAATGTCCAGAGGGTTTCGCACCTTTGGATGAGACTATGGAATGTGTAGGTGAGTGGAATCTGTTTACAATATGTGGGTTATACTTTTGTTCCATTTTACTTTGCAAGATTAGGAAGAAAATTGAATATAACTGACACCGAATAGGCAATTTTTTTTTCATCCCATCTTGTCTTCAAGCGCATGCATATTCTACTAGTACATCATTCTTTCTTTCATTGCCTACAAAAATGATCTCTTTAAATAAGATATCTGATGCTATGCTTTTCTTTCCTAGATGGATGTGAGGTAGGACCTTGGAGTGAATGGGGAACATGTAGTAGAAATAACAGGACATGTGGGTTCAAGTGGGGCCTGGAGACGAGGACACGACAAATAGTGAAGAAGCCAGCAAAAGACACAATTCCTTGCCCAACTATTGCGGAGTCTAGAAGATGTAAAATGGCACAGAGACACTGCCCGGGAGGTAAGAAAAATCTTGTGCTTAATCAAATATATGGGTTGTATTGATAAATATGTAACGACCAAATGAAAATGACTCCATACATTCCAGGTGCATCAAAACAAATGGTGTCCAAACTGCTAATCATTTTAGGAGTTATTTTCTTTATAAAGCAGCCACATCCTGAGTAGAAAAACCTATCTCCTGCCAGCATACAGTAGAAAAGGACCTTTTTGCTCCCTGTGTGGAATTAGTGGTCTCTCTGCAGAGGTCTGCTGAACCAGACCTATATCCCTAAAAGTAGCCGATCTGCTCCCTGCTCGTTGGACTGTCCCTATTCATTTAAATGTCTCATTTGGAGGTAATGTTAAAGGAAACTTGTAGCAAGTATTCAGGCTGCAATTGCGGGCCTCTCCTCATTTTGAAAATACTAGTTCTTTACATGTCATGGTGATCTGAAAGCTTTAATGCTTTATAAGTCACTTACTTGGAGTGGATGTTCTGATTAGGAACTCAAGCCCCATGTACATGGCACACTTCTGAACGATGGAAACTGACTGCTGGAAAACGTAGGTTAAAAAAAGTCTGTTTAGATGTGTTTGCATAATGTGTTTTATGTGCGTTTGTGTTTAGAAGCATTTTTTAACCACCTTCCGCCCGCCCTATAGTACAATGACAGGTGCAAGGTGGTTCTCTCGTCCTGATAGGACGTCATATGATGTCCTACCATTTCTCACCGTGCATGCGCTGCTCAGGGAGTGCGCGCCGATCGCCGGTGCGCTGTGTCCCTCGGACACAGCGGATCACGGAAAGAGCTGAAGATGTTGGCTCGGTCATGTGATCAGCTGTGTCCAATCACAGCTGATCACATGTAAAGACGGAAATGCTGGTTATCGGCATTTTTCTCCTCTCGAGCTGTCACGCTGACAGCTCGAGAGGAGAGCCAGTAATCGGCTTTTGGCGGAGGGGACATGTACACTGATCATCAGGGCACTGATTATCAGTGTGCCCTGATGATCAGTGTGGCCCCAGAAGTGCCACGTGCCAGTGCTCATCAGTGCCACGTGCGAGTGCCCATCAGTGTCACATCAATGCCACATATTAGTGCATACCAGTGCACATCAATGCAACATATCAGTGCCCATCTGAGCTGCCTTTCAATGTCACGCGTCAGTGCCACCTATCAATGCCAGTCAGTGCCACCTATCAGTGCTGCCAGTCAGTGCCACCTATCAGTGCCAGTCAGTGTCACCTATCAGTGCCAGTCAGTGCCACCTATCAGTGCCAGTCAGTGCCATATATCAGTATCATGTATCAGTATCCTGTATCAGTGCTGCCTTTCAGTGCCCATCAGTGATGCCTGTCAATGCCCATCAGTGCAACCTACCAGTGCCTCTTTATCAGTGCCCATCAGTGCCACCTATCTGTGCCCATCACTGCAGCCTCATTAGCGCACATCAGTGAAGGAGAAAAATCACTTATTTACAAAATTGTATAACAAAAACTAAGAAAAAACTTTTTTTTTTTTTTTCAAAATTTTCAGTGGTTTTCGGTTTGTTTAAGAAAAAATAAAAATCCCAGAGGTGATTAAATACCACCAAATACCTCCTATCTGTCTAAAAAAAAATGATAAAAATTTAATATGGGTACAGTGTTGCATGACCGCGCAATTGTCATTCAAAGTGTGACAGCGCTGAAAGCTGGAAATTGTCCTGGGCAGGAAGGGGGTAAAAGTGCCCTGTAGGCTTGTGGTTAAAGATAAGCACAGGAGAACCTCCCAAATGCCAAGAATGCACTGAAAAGTGGTAAATTATTAACTATTTCAGACTGTTTCAGAGAAATACAGAGAGTAGAAGCAGACAGTTGCTCATTAACATTTCTTTTGTTTCCCAGGGTGGGAAAGGTGTCTGGTGGAGTGAGTCATTAAGGCCACCTGGCAGGGGGGGTCGCCATGAGAAATTTGAGGTGTAAATGATCATTAACATCTTTTGTTTCCAAGGGTGGGAGAGGTCTGAGGTGTGAATTGGTCATTACAATGTATGACATGCTTGGTAGGAACATCCTGTGTTCAGTGTTTTGTCCATCTGAGCACCTTGAAAGCGCTTTGCATGCATTTTTCATGATGAAAAAAGGTTCTGGACAGCATCGGGAACTGGAAGAGTTAAAATAATAAAAAAAAAATTCAGACCCTGATAAAATCGACTGCTGAACCAAGTTTTTCTGCGTTCAAAAAGACTGTAAACTCAAATGCCTATAAACGAAGATGTGCACATGGACACATATGAAAACATTAGGGTGAGTTCAAGGGCTGCTGAAAAAAAAACGCTGAACAGCTCCTAAACTTGTTTATCAGCTGCAGTGTACATGAGCCCTTAGATTCTGATTTTATTTATTTATTTTTTTCAGATCTGCTTGCTTGCTCCTGGTCTGTTTCTCCAAGTATTAAAGCCAGAGACATGCCAGGAAACTAGCATTTTCACAAGAGAGTCAGCAATGGTAGCCTCTTTCTTTCTTTTTTTTTTTTTTTCAACAGGAAAAAGCAAATCTCTGCACACCAATAACCTCACACGGGTTCCGGTTTATTAAAGCGGACAATCTCTGTGACAGTCCCTGCCCATGAGACCTCCCCTCTAGCACCCAGCTCTAGATTTCCTTCAATAAGTTGCCTTTTAATTACAAATCTTTTTTAGACAGACTAGCTTTTTTTGGGGTGTTAGTCATTAAAATGTCTCATTTGTATATATGACCACCTTTTTTTAGACCACTTCTGATTTTTTAAAAAATTCTTTATTTTTTGTACCTTTTTAATGTTTGCATTTTGCGCTTTTGGTTATAGGTGTTGAATGTAGTTTTCTATTGCATGGACCATCATGATGGGTACTTAAAGTGCTGACTAGTGAGGACTGAGCATTGAGCTAGTACTGTCAAAGGGGGGGAAACTTCAGCTTTAACAAACTAAATGTCATTCAGATAAGGAAGATACAGGAGTCATACTCCACTTGTTCCATTCCTTTAGCAAAGAATTTCCATTTACCCCTTCAATTTGGCACACCAGTATTGATACTTAGGAATGAGCATGTGAATTTTGGCTGGACTGACCTTTTTGATGGCTGTAAATATTGTAACTGATCACAAGTTTGGTCCTCACTACACTTCTGCTAGAATTTTTCTCTATGCCTCTCTAGAAAGCAAGAACTATTATGAAGTTGTAATCTTTTGACACACACACCAACAATCTCTTCAAACCACAACTGCGCTCATAAATGCTCCATCACTTTTAGGGGTTTTCTGTGCTGTCATCGACTCATTCTCCATCACTAGATACTTTTTCTTTGCTCCCCAGCCAAGCAACAGCGGTTTCCTTAATGGGTTCTCCTGTTTTATGTCTCCGTGTTGCTTGTCTGTCTCTGCACATCTTGTCAAGATGCTGGTAGATACACAGGAATACAAAACTGGATTATTGAGGGCTCATTCATGCCATTTTCCATGGGCTGTGTTTGGTAGCATTGCTCAACACAGCCTCCACACAATAAAAAGAAAAATTACATGGCTTTCAATGGGCCCAGTTCATGCCATTGCACTACATTGCTGTGCAGTGGTTGAGAATAGGACAGGTTTCATTTAAACAGTGCTGCAATGCAAAACAAAATTAAAGTAATTTGGCTCCTGCTGTGAAAAAAGGAAACATGTACAATAACGTATTAAAAAATGCATATGGTATGAATCTAGCCTGTTCTTGATTGCGAGCGATGGACCCTGTTTGTTAAAAATGGAAGACAAATAATGTTTTTGATCAGGGATGGGATGCAGCACAGCAATTCTTTTAGCAAATTTTTATTTTGTATCAGTCAGGATGAGCATTCCCTCAAACTTTTGGGAAAAATCAGGAGATTATGATGACATTTTTGTGAAATTAATTGGAGCCAAGGAAGATGACAACTTTAAAGCCCATCTCCAGAAAACCTGAAGATTCTTCATTGCAGTGAGACAGCACCCCTACTGCAAAGTTGAACTGCTTCTTTAGGTATGGGGCATAAAAAAAGATGTACTTACCTGATCCTCTGTCAGTCCCTGCAATGCCTTAAGTCCCATGCTCCAGCGGCCTAAGGTCCTAATGTCATTAGGACCAATCGGGGTCCACAGCCCTGCATTGGATGTGATGACAGACAGTCCAGTCCTGCAACATGGGGGGGGGGGATGCCGTCTGCTGGGGAAGCCGAGGATTGAGTATTCCAGGGGAGTGTACAAGCACTTTTGCTTAAACAAGCAGTTGACCCTTATGACGTGGTTGCAGCCCCACTGCGAGGGAGAACTTACAGATTTTCTGGAGTTGGTAGAAAGTGTAGATAATTTTTGCCTAAGCAGCTCAATGAGCAATATGGAGAGCTCAGCTTTAAGATGGAGTTTCATTATCCTTTCACTAGGTTACAAAATCAGAAGAGATTTTGTTTTCTTTATGATGAGATCATAAGCATGCATTTACAGTCCAGTGCATTTCCTTTTTCCTAGTGCCATGTCTGTTTTTGCCAAAAGTTTCACGTGTTTTTGTTTGACACATACATATAATTCATTGAGGAAAACATGCTGGCTGCTCTATGGACTTCCCAACAGATTATAAGATAATGTGCTTACCAGCGGCAGGTACCGCTAAGAAGCCCAGATCAGTTAACAAGGCAAGGTCAAAGCTGGGATGGGTGCTTGGCAGAGGCAGCTGTGCAGAATTCCTTCGTAATGTAGCAAAGCAGAAGACTCTTATGTCTTTTCGTCTTTGTTTTGCTTTAAAGCGTTCACATTTACAGAAAACATGAAAAGGGGAATGAAGACTGTATACCCTTCCCACCCCCCTGTTTCCTGCTGTACTTGATGTGCGCATGGCTGATGAGCTGTCATTGCCCACACAATGTTAGTGGTTCAGGGATTAGAAATCCCCACTGTTCTCCCTCTTTTCTGTGCAGCGCTTCCAGGATGGATCAGAACGATTCGGATTGGTCAGTGCCATCACAAAGCAAAGCTCTGATCTGTCTGGGAAGCACTGCAGAGGGAAGAAAGGAAGGAGTGGGGATTTCAAATCCTTCAATCACTACACTGGTTACATTGACAGCTCAGTATCCATAGAGGTAAATACACCATTGACCAAAGGTGGTGAGGGTGTAAAGTGATAGTTTTTGCTTTTTCAGTTTTTTCTGAAAAGGTGAACCAAGTCTTTAAAACCAAACTCCAGTCTAATTGATACATACTCAATTAAAATACATATATGGAAATTGTTTCACCTGCAAAGGGATTTCTAATTCAGTTCAGACAGTCTTGTGTTCTGGCCACCCTTGCCAGATGGTATAGAGGATTCTTGGACCTTCCTGCAGTTAAAGGGACATGGTCTTCCCAAAAAAGCTTAACAGGTCCCTGTGATAAGAGGCATTATACTCCTCTCTCTGGCCGCCTATATCTTCTACCTACTCAACATTCCAGCTCTGCAGCTTCCATAAAACTCTTCAGAATGTGATAGTTTGGGGAGTGTTGGGTAAATGTATCCCCCTGCTGTGCACTGTGGTTCCATCTGCTGCCCTCTCAGCACTCCTGTGTTCTGTAAGGGTAATGTGGGGGTCAGTGGAAGAAACTACAGCATGGAAGGAAACCCAGACATTTCCTATCCAGTTTTCCGAATTCTGCTTATTCCCACAATTACTTTTTAGGCTACAGTAAAAATTCAAAATCTGGCTTGGAATTGTAAAAATGACATAACTCTCATTCCAATGATCTGAGTGAGCTTCTTTTTGATATAGAGGTGTGTGTGTGTGTGTGTGTATATACAGTAGATACATTGATCAGTGTTTTTCCATGCATTAGACAAGTTGGGTAAGGAGTGCCAATGAAATATTCTAATAACCTAGACCACAATCTCCTGTTCTGTGAAAATGGAATTTGTATTTGGAATGGTAAGTGGAAGAGGTGCTGATACCAAGGACTGTCCTTCTAGTGAGTCCAGATTTCCAGTTGTGGATGTGAGAAGATCCATTTGTGTGTGCAACTGCATTTTTAGTGATGGTTAGTAGGTTTGTAATGCAAAAAGACATCTTAATTTCATTGGTTGGGCCCTAAAACCCAAGTGGAGCATATTTTTTAGTAAGGCTTCTGTCATATGGGTGCTGTGGCACGTACAGTGTGAATAATGTAGCAAGTGAGCATACGGAGATGGACGCGGTCATCCATCTTGCTAAGGATCCTCCATCTTGTATCATTTCTACTCCCAAATCAGATTCCCTCCAATTTCCCC